ATGGTCTCTTACAGTCAAGGAGCGGGTGCCATGATCAGCTGAATCGCAGTGGTGGCTGCTGCAATGGATCTCCCACTGCCGATGAGATCTGCCATGGTACTCCTAAGAACGCACACATCACAACACATCTTCTGGGGGCTGACTTTACACCCCCAGTGTATCCCAATGTTTTTGTTGACATCCTTGAAGCTGGACCGTGGTTGATATGGGTGCAACACCAATGTGACAAAAAGAAGAGTTGCCTGCCGCAAAATTCTACGTTTTCAGTTGTTAGTGGATACTTTAGAACCACACCCCTGACGTTGCCAAGATGCATGTTGTTGGCTGTTGGCATTGCTGCCACAATCAGTGCTGGGGCCCAAAAGGCCAGCGGCCGGGTCTGCCCACGGACGTGGAAGATGTGGATGTCGATCGCGTAGGCCACATAATAGAGGACAAATGGGGCCAATATCATCCTGTCGTGAATCAAAGGCTCGCACATGTCAAGGCCAAGGGCTGTTGGATAGATGCACCATGGGATACCATCAGCATTTGAACAAAAGAGTACGCTAAGCAAAAGGTACACTTGCTTGCAAAGAGTAAGAACCCCTGCAAGTGTGGATGCGAAGAGATATTCGAAAGCCTGTCCTGGCCACTCCCACAGCGACAGAGATCCGGATGAGTTTGGATCGATTTTGAGCATTGGAAGGCTTGCTCGCCAGGGGCCCATTATCACCCACCTGACGGAAGCGGCAAAAGGTGCAGCAAGATGGATACCAACCAGTGATACATCGCAAATTGCGATTGGCATGCTAATGAGTTGCCACGGCACTACGTTGAGCATTCGCCCACCCAATGAAATCATCTGCAAGGGCACAAAGCCATTGCCAAGTTCCTGCACTCTGGTCCGGGGCATGGCGAGACATGGCCCAACTCGCAGGTACTCCGCTGGTCCTGCGCCACTCCATAGACAAAGGCCAAGGGGGCCTGACCATCCTCGGCAACGTGAAAAGCACGAAGGCACCGGGAGATGGAACGGTCCCCATGCATCCCGCATCCAGCCTCAGGTGCAATGAAGAGGCCTTTCATCCATGAAGGCCCAAGGCCAATGGCCATAGCTAGTAGCACTGCTGTCACCTCACAAACGCACTCCAAGGACGACTTACACGGAACATCACCGGATGAGAGGAGAAAACCAGTGCATCATGCTAGATCGTGCTGCTCAGGTGGCACCAGTGACCAGTCTCTCTCACTACTTCCTAGAAAGCTGTGCTGGCCTTGCCTGGTGAAACTACTGGTTCACCAGCCACCGCTCGCAGACTGACGTCCGGTCGTGTCCGTGCCTGTGGAGGTAGAATCTGCCTCAGGAGCTCCTGTATGTCTTCTAACTTGGGCAGCTTCCACAAGGGAACGAGGCGCTGACGGTTCTCCTGCAGGTTAGCTACGTTCTGCAGGGGAGAAGGAAGGGGTCTTCAAGCTCGTGGAAGATATGTCTTTAGCATCCTTTAGCTTCCATGTGATATATGGATTGATTGATGCCAGAAAAATCTACAACTCATCTCGAGCAAATCCAACCATGAGTCATGAGACCGCCTGGAATTTCTCTTTCAGCAGCGGCGAAGCTTTAGAGTCTGTGAAGGACCCTTTGACAGAACATTCGTTTTTGAACCTGAGAGCAAGCGACGGAAGGATCACAGCCCACAGCCGAAGCAAACGCAGCCGAGTGACACGTGGTAGGCATCAAATCGGCTCCAATCAGGCTCTACGCTGCAAACCTGGCTGATGTGTCTGTGGGCGACATTGAGGCCGGAAAAATGAGAAGCAATGTCTTGCATTCGCGCATGTAAGATCTGGCTTGACTTGCAACTGACCCCACTATCAATGCCTTACATTCCAAGTGGAAGCATCAACTCTCCAACTAAGTTGAAGCTACAACACAATCACCGCAACCGAGCCTGGTCATGCGTCAGGCCCCAGTCCGTTTGGTCGTCGTTGTCTATCGGATGCGGGCAAGGCTCGTCCTCACCCTGGCATTTTTCCGGAGTTGCACTTCAACAGTGCATGTGCCTGTCCAATAAGTCTCACTATGTTTGCCAGGGCATATGTCTTCTCTTTGACATCTGCATTCCGGCCTGAATGCTATGTAAGGAATCCCCAAGTGGCATATCATGGCCGCTTCCAACACGCCGGGCACGTCGGTCGCGGCGAAAAATGGCAGGACCCAAGGTGTACTTTAGACAACCGTCCTCAGTGCCAAATGAGTCTAGAGTCTAGAGTCTTCAAACATGTCTCCTCAACGTGCATAATTAATATGTCTGGGTGTGGTGGTGGGCATCCTTTGTGCAGTCTATGGCGATATGACCTGCCCAACTTCTGCTGTGGAGCTGTCAACTGAATGATGGAGAGAAAGACGATGGCTGAGAAGCCAGAGGCAGAGTTGGGAATGGCCTGCCCCAAGGCACCTGGCAAGTTCCGTCACAGACAGTCAGAGTCATGATCTGACAACGCCTCAACGCAAGATGGCGTGGGGGGCTATCACAAGACCCCGACCTGTTGGCCAAGGCCAATACAAGCCTGGACAAAGCAGATTGTAACAAACGAACCCTTCAAGCATATCTCAAGCGTGGCAGTCCAAGGCACTCACCACAGATACCGGGAAGCCGTTCACATTTGGGAAGCCGGCACAGGCCTTGACAAAAACCAAGAGGAGCGCATGTGCGAAACCATGCGAAACCAGGCCGTATCAGACCACCAGACATTGAAGTTTGCACTCCATATTTTCTCAATGCACGTCAAGGGACAGCAGCAGCTCCGAGGTGTTGCTTTGGGATGCCCACAGCCAGGCAGCAAAGAATCCCAAGCAAGCCACTGACCTGGAGGCAAGGATGCCAATAAGTGGATGCTCTTCTCTTGATTAATTCTGCTCGGGCAGGCTTCACTGTGCCATGCAGCCACGACAAATGAGCCCTCTCTTGCACTTGTTGTTTGTGGTCGCAACTTTCGACAACGCCCGTGTCCCCACCGCCGAGTAAATGAGGGGCCACATCAGCAGCTCCCAACCTTCTTCCAACAGTTGAGCGTTGGCCTTGGTTGACCATTCAATATGGCGCTCGGACACAAACCGTGGCCTGAATTCCGGCCCCGAAAAATTGTGACGGCGAGTTGAGTACGCTTGTACATGACAAATATTATCTTGCCTCTTTTCACTCTCTCACTCACTCACTCAGGCATGGCCCGTCACTGAACCGTCTGAGACGTGGGGAGCACTGATCAGAAGTGCCCGGCCTCTGGAAGCACAGCGCTGAAGAGAAGGCAGGGAAGACAAATCTCCATCGCGAGTGCAGAGAGGCACTTTCCTCGGCTTTAGGAAAAGGTTCCATTTTGGGGGGACTCGCTGTTGTATTGTGTGCGATACGCATGGCAGGACATAACCTAGACTCTAGACCTTAAATCCCTAGCACCTGGCTGCACAAACGATGCAAATGCTCCATTCAAGCAGCTCTTTGGCCCATTGAGCATTTCGCTCTTCTCCAGTCGCACACCAACCTTGGCACAAAAGGCAGCCTCGCTTTGCAAATCTTTCTCTAGGCTTTGGTCATTTACGCACTTCCGTGCAGCTCAGTTGCATAGATCAATGTGCAAATCTTGAGAATTGCTGTCCTTAACCGGCCAAACATCATGCCGCAGCTGCCACTTGCATGGTTTCACCAAAGAAAACCCAAGCCGCATGAATATAGGCTACCTAATACCTAGATGCGTACTGATCCTGTGGACACCTCCCACGATCTACAAACAGCATCAGCAAAGCTGCCGGGGTTGGATACTTTGGACTATTTTGGTCAGTTCTGCGAACCAGCTGCCTGGCTGCCTGGGGGATGGCAGTCCAGCTTGGCACATACAAACGGCATTCCTTTTGAGGCCCCCTGAAGGTGGGCTGAAACACTAGCAATGGCGGCCGGCGGTGGTGAGTTTTTGAGAGAAAAACGTTCAAAGGATGGTGAACTTGATGAGGGGCTCTGAAGCCGGAGTGTTGGAGCAAATGACAACAAATATGATCATTGACAAGTCCTAGCTCAGCTCGGTTTTGGCCTAAACAGCCACATCGCCCAGGTCAGCTTGTGGACTACATTGCAAAAAGTCATTTAGCCTACCTTCGTAGCTTGTGGATATGACCAAGTGTAGTTGCGATATGTGTTCATCTTGGCTGCTCCGCTGGATTGTGATTCCTCGACGCATGTGCACAGCCCCAGATTCCAGTGGCTCGAATTTGAGAACCTCATCCACTTTCGATTGGTGGCCAAGGAGCAGTACAGCAAATGCAATTTTGAAGGTGTTGCTCTCCTCAGCAGTTCGACTCTGTCAGTACATACTGCCGGCGCATAGAGGCTGACGAAAAAAAGGCCTCCAATCTGTGCTCCCTTTTTGGGGATAAAATCCTGAACAAGGACACCGTACAACAGTAATGGTTTCAATAGCTGGCCTTTCCAGCGAAGCAAGCTTCCGGTGACATGCTACCCAACAGCAGTGTCAGGCTTAGGTGGAGCACGGAGCAACGTGTAAACAAAGTGTTTAGTTAGCTCATGCTCACCATGCTCATACCTAGCTACACATAGATTCTTGATGATTCTTGTTTTGTACAAACCAAATGTGTAGCACCTGGACCTTAACTGGACCTACACAGTATGATAACATGTACAACATGTATAACTTTACAAAATACCGAATCAAGACATTGTCTTGGCCAAGATTCCATGGCCAAGCGCGCTCGTGGCGTCCCTGGACCTACCTCTATACTGAGCCAATAGACAAAGGACGGTGCCTGACCGATCTGCAAAGGACCTTTACGCAACGTGGTCCAACTATTCTGCACTGAGCCCAAAAGAAAACTACATCGTTCACGGGATGCGGCCGGATCCCGCCCGGAACGACAGAAACATGACAATTTGAGCAGAGCGACCCGATTTCCGCCCCGCACAAAGACTCACTGGAGCGTTCTGTTTCGCACATCTGGGCACACGTGCGGAATGAGACCTCGTTGACCAGCAGCTTTCAAGACCACATCCATGGCCTACCATTCAAGCTGAGTCAAGGTCAAAACTGGTTCTCTTGCGCTCACAGAAAGTTCGCTTTGGTGAGGGAAGCAAGTCCATAACAAAGAAGGCTACAAGGCCACCAAAGGAAGAAAGTGTGCCAAATGAGCATGTCTTGTTCCTTTGCGACTATGTTCACTTTGCCCTGGCCTTGTCTGCTGCCTCCTGCCACCGGCTATCACCAGTGACCTTGGACATGTAGCGGAATTCCACCTGGTCAATGCAAGAAACTCTGCTCCAACTCAATTTCTTCCTGCAAATCCCACCTCAAACTTGCAGTTGGGTCGAATTGTGACCCGTTTCTAAAGAACTTGACATCTGAGAGAAGCCTTGCCTACTCAAACATGAGGTCTGAAAGCTCAATTGCTGCAAAAGGCGTTGCTCTATCAAACGCAAAAACTATGCTTAAAACATGAACACCTGACACCTACCGGCCTTAATTACCTATATATATTACCTCTACTAAGATCTACTACAGCAGTAATAGTTTCGATATGTTTCGACAGATTTAGACAAAAACGATGGTCCGATTGTCCAAACCATTCTTACTATGGCAATGATTGCAATGGATTCAGAGGTACGCTATGCACCTATTACACCACACCGCATCTCCCAAGCAGCCTGGAGGGTCGTTGCCTCAGCTAAGACCTGCAGGGTGACAACTGTGGCAACGGGGGCGATGCGCACGTTGCCAGGGGGGGAAGGTGAGAGATCTGCTTCTAATGTTTCAAGAATATAATTACTATCAATAAGCAAACCCTAAGCACCATAGCCCCCCACCTCAGCCACCCCCCAACCCCCGTGACATGTGTTTCTCATGGTTTCTCAATACTTCCCCTGCAGGACATGGGAGAGAAGTCGTCCGAATCAAACAGGTCAGCCACGCAGTGTTGGCATTCCAAGAGTGCATTGCTGCTTTGCCGGTGCCAATGTCAATCTGAGACAGGAGGGTCATGCCGAAGGGCCATAATGACAAGATTGGGAATCACCAAGATTGGGAATCACCATGTGGGTGTGCATTCCTAATCCAGCTTGATTTTGCTTTGCTTAATGCAAAGTTCTGGGCATGGCCTTGGCTGGCTTTCTGCAATAGAGAGCGTGACAGGTCAGTGTCACTCAAAATTCAGAACTGCAACTAACATAGTCGTCCAGCCAAAGCACCCCTAGGATCCAGAAAATTACATAAACCAGCGGCAAAGAACAACTCTGAATGCGGCAAAGCAACTGTGGGTAAAGGAAGGCCGCTGGGCCTCGGCCACAAGATCCAGAGAAAAGGATTGATGCCAATGTAACCTTCTGTGTAGCATTGACCGTTGAGCAAACAGTCCTAAAGCGTGGATTACTTCAAGTGTGAGGCAAAAGCACAGTAACTGCCTGACTTTCACGCACCAATGACAATAAAGTTGGCTCGGCCCTAGCCCTACCCAAATCATTTCCAATCCGCATGACATCCAGGGCAGCATCCAGAAATCTAACCTGGAAGCTGTGGCTGCAGGGATCGCGAAAGCAGAATGCCTAAGGCCAGGACGAGGTAAAAGCCGACAGCAATTTCTCTCCCAGCCGACGGGCCTTAGAACGTTGACCCGATGGGCAACGACTCGGTATGTTCATCAAGGGAACCTTTTGCTTCAGGCATGCCAAAAGCTCATGTCGTGCTTTCTTGTGCTCTTCCACTGTGTGTCAACACATTAGCACACTCCAAATCCTGGCAGGAAGAGAGAACCAAGCTCATAATCCAGTGCCACTCAGGCAGGGAATTTAAAAAAAAATCAAAATATGAATTATTGTCCTTAATTAGGAGTGGTTACAGAATTCCACGGTATGAGTTTCTCCTGCGCCTAGTCGCTGTGTCCAAGAAGACGCGCTTGCCACTGAGGGAGTATGCTGATAGCAGGCCTGACATCTGAACAAGCGACATGCGAGTGTGTACCGCTACTAGTAATAACAAGTGGATTACTATTAGTAACCGGAAGCACAAGGGCAATCACTCAAGGAACAAGTGCCTCAAGGGATTGTGAGAGGTTATCTTTCCGGCACACTTGGAGAGAAAAAGACAAAGCTACCGGCATCCACCATCCAAACTCAGGATCAATACAGTTACAGCTTGCCAAACACTGCTGGGCAAACGATGGGGGGGAGATCTATAGAAAATAGGACGCTGGCGAGACTTGAAGGCCTCCCCCAGGTCCTTTTAGTTGACCGCCGCATATGTAAAGACCTCTCCCGCATTAATTACTAATATAGTACAATCAAACTTGCAACTAGCACTATGGACACTATGGAGAGAAGCGGGGTGAAACGCATATGTTTAAAAAATGTTAGTCCATACACATGCATACATATCTAGTTACACTAAAACAATAATTGTACTTATACATAGAGAGTATATATATATGCTTACAATTCTATGAGTTATTTGCGTATGAACCTGAAATTTGCAAAACCCTTGCGTTTGTGATCTCCTCTTCCTGCATGAGGTGTTTTTTGGGATCAACGTTGTGCATCTGATGTTCCATTCCTCACACCTCATCTTTCGCGGTCGCCCACACACCACACAGCTGGCCCTGTCCGACCTATGTTTCCCGGCCTGCAAAGGCTCGGATGTTGATCTCGAAGAGGCTGTTTTGGCCATGACTGGCGAGAAATAAGCCCGTCAAAGGTCTTTAAGAGTCATGGGCCTTCAACCCTTCTCAAGAGGAAAGCTGTCTTGGTGGCCTTTTGGGTGAGACTTGTGCGCGGTTTCACGACTCGTGAAACGACTCGTTCCACGAAGTAATCACTCTCTCCTGCCGGGCCCTGGGAGGTTGCTGTCTTCGAGCCATTGGGCAGCTTCCTGCGCAAGCGTCGGTTCTTTAAAGCAGCCCAAGCATGAGCGGCACGGCTGCCCTTCCTCGAACTCTTGGCGGAAACCCATCACCCACAGCGTGGACCTCATGTTGGACATCTTCAAAGACCATCTGTCTCATGTGATAAAAGGCGGTCTTCTCTGTCTGCTCCATCAAATAAAGTCTGTCCGCACCTGCCATCCGTGAATTCTTTGGGGGTCCGACAGCGCATCTAACATTGTGACCGCCTCGGCGTTGGCTGGCTGAATTACCGTCAAAGGGTTGTAATATTGAGGCCACAAAATGTGCGAGGCCTTGGCCCAGGATATGTCGGACACTCTACTATTGAATGCTCAGGATTGACAGCTTTGTCGTGCTCGGATTCCAACCATCCGGCACCAGTCCTCCCACAAACGGAGAGATGCCAACGGGACGCTCTTTCCACCCAGCTGCCAACTCAGCTGCCGACTCACAACGTCTGCCAAACATGGGAATTCACTCTCCCAGCTCTGAACCAAAGTCTTCTGGAAGTTCCATTTTTAGATTCTTCTGAAATTGGGCTTGAACTATACACTGGTGGCCCCATGTGGGCCCAGCTTTCCAGCACCTTTGCATCCCGGTCCTTGGGTCTCCCAGAGTTCGGTTGAACTTCATCATGACCCCAGGCTTTGGTCCTGCAGCTTCCGTTCATGGCACGTCTGTGGTTATCTGCAACTGCTCTAGCTCTAGCTGCTAGCTACTCTGGTACAGTAGCTGCATCTTGCCGCCTATGCCGGCCTTACCTGCAGAACGCTTACCACCATCGATTCCGATGGCAGGAGTTGCGAAGTGAGCTTGACAGCGGTTTGACTGCAGTGACAAGCGCTGTATAGAACTACAGGTCAGTCGTGGTCTTGCTCCCCTAGTATGTCAAAGCCTTGGCATCGGAACACTCACAGTGGACGGGCTAGGACCCGGCTAGGAAGCCGAATGACTCCCAAGATATATGTCCATTTCCTTGTACATGTGCCACAACCACATTGACACTGGCGCTCCAAACCCTTGCCTGTAGCCGTCCCAGGTGTGCTTCATTGCTCCTCTGACCTCTGCGGCCTCAAGCAAGCTGGCGCTTGAGCATTGCTGCTCAACAGTCAACGGGTGCCCCAGCAACCACAGAAAGGCCAAATCTGACCCGGGCCACAGCCACTAAGCTCCTCTTCGCTGCTTGGGGGCGCCCACAAAAGAAGCTCCCCTTGAGGCCAAGCTACCCAAACATCTGCTTCAGTCTGTGATTTCATGAGCTCCTCCTTGCCGTAGCGTGAGAGCCACTCCTGCAACGCAACATGCAACTCAATCCCAAGATTCTAATTTGCCACCAGTGGTCGCAAGATGTTGTAGTCAAAAGGATGCTCTCCAAAGAAGTTCCTCCCACCCTTTTCAGGGTGGGAGGAACTTCTGTGGAGAAGCCTGGTCAAAGCATACCGCCCATGTTCAGCTAAGATGTGGAATGTGGTCTTATTCTGCCCTTATCTGCAAACTGCCCTCCCAGCCCTAGGCCTTTGGCCATGTCGCGCTCAATTTCTCAGGTGGCAGCGTGGGGCCAGGTACGCTCTCGATCTCTAGCGCCTCACGTTGTCTCGGTCCAGGGGCCACACGAAAGCTTGCCAAAAGAGGGCACGAGTTAAAGCAAATGAAAAATGACAAACATGAAGTGAAACTGAGAGGCTCGGATCGTTTCGCCAAAGCCACCCCACTCTTTCAAGTGTTGGCTCATGACGCATGATGCACGGTAGCTCTTGACATCTTGATACGCAACTTCAGTTACAGATACAAGTAAGTAAGCATCTGTTTGGCCATGTTCCCTGCAGTTTAAACTATAGATGCGAAACTTGGCACCGCAGCAGCAGCATCGTTGGACATGGGGTGCGCAGGCCTTGGAGCTTCCATCTCAAACAGCAACGATCTGGTGTTTTAAATCCAGTGATATGGAAGATTTGGAGGTGTGGTGACAAAAGCGCCCCGCAGTTCGTCAAATGTAGCGGGGCTCCACGCTTCGCGTCCCATTTGACAATTGGAACTGCTGACTGCCCTTCCCCTGGCTGAAAACTGCGAGACCGAATTACGGCATAAATGCAACAACAGAGCGTAGCGGCGTAACAGCACCTGGACCTATCTGAGGAGAACTTGAAAAGACCAAACTTTGCCGCACGGCACCTGCGTTGAAGCCCTTGACATAGCGGGGTTGAAGCCGACCCCCAGAGATTGAGTTGATGCTCCTCAAAAAATGTTTAGACAATGCAAACCAAAGGCTTCCGCAACAAGGTCAGATCGTTTGTGATGCGTTGAAGCCAAAGAGCAAAAACAGCGCACGTTCCCCTTAAAAAACAAAAATAACACACATCCCCTTCCCCCTCTCTCTCCCGTTTGCTCTGGGCATGAGGCTCAGATTTAACCTGGTGTTGCACCAAAACCTTCAGTCCCTCAGTGTTGCACACGACAGCGCGTGATGTTGGATTCACAAAGGGTGCGCCAGCTCCAGAGACAATGGATGCAATGGATGTGCTGGTCAATGCAACTACTGGACGTTGCTAAACTGCTAAACAAGACTTGAGAAGACTTCTGTCTAGCAGCTGGAATCCCAAAAGGATTCATAAGGTTTGGGCGGAAGTGTGAGTGCCACAATTCGGGGATCCGCTGGTCAAGTCCTCAGTCGTGAGCTCATGTGTTTAAAAGCTTCCAGTTTCTTCAGCTTTCACATGTTGTGCTTGTGAAATCTCCTTGGCCTCACAGTGGAGGAGATTCACCTCGGAAGGGCAGCAAGTAAGCTCCGGTAGCCGCAAAAATGACAAGCCTTCAAGAGACGGAGAGAATCTTACATTTCAAAACATTCTAAAGTGCAAAAGCATCAAGCAACCTGGTGCTTGGGAGCTTAGCAAACCCCATTTGCGCAGCCGCAAGTTCAGCCAGCTAGATCGAGTGGAATCGCTCAACTTGAATGATTAAAGTATATAGAGTGCTGCCAACTGCTTCAGAGCATGAGTCTATCCAAAAGAAGAGATGCGAAATCCACAGAGTCTCTGGACTAGCTTTGCTCCATCGGTCGACTGCGCCAAGATCCGCCTCGGCCACAACTTCCAGGCGTCGAAACCTGTAACTAGTAGCTTCTTGTTACTAGTAGCAATGCCAGGAGCTACTAGCTTCTTGCTCCTAGTAGCGATGCCCTTTGTTACTAGTAGCTCCTTGTTACTAGTAGTAATAATCTTTGATCCAAGCCACGTGTCACCCATAAAGCCGATAAAGCCATGCGCCATGGCCTTGGCGCAGGATGGCCCAGGAACGACTGGGAGCTCATGTGGCCCTCACACGGACAGTGTAGGTCCAGTGCAATATCTGTGGCCTTGGGCATGATATGGGCCTCAGCATCTCAAGAGCGCCAAAGCAAGGTCAAGATGCAGTCCCGGAAGACATCTCGATAAGCTGTCTGAGACATGTGCCCCAAACAGAATCTTGCCCGAATCTGAGAGAATCCGCTGGTCGATGCCGGCCTGGACAATCAAGAACATGTTCAAACACGTTGAGCACTAGTAATTATGCATTTGATTGCAATTGTAGAGACATGTTTATATGTATAAAAATAGCTATATATATATATAGCTCCAAATCTCAACCTCAACAGCCTTCCGACATGGGATCGAGAACCACTCTTGCCTGCTGGATTCCCATGGTCCTTAGATTGGACAAGCCACGTTGCCAAGCGAGTTACATGGTCGCGCCCTCTCCCCCAATTCGACCAATTGATTCTACCCGTCCCATCGTGGCTACTCACTACATGGCCACCTCACCCTGCTTTTCAACCAGTCGCATCACACCTGGAAGGAAAAAACTGGAGAGTCACTGAAGATCAAATGAACTCCGGGAGTTCTCCGGGCAACGGTTTCGAAAAATGCTTCGTGGGGCCAAGCTTCTGCTGCTGGCGGGAGTACTTGCCCAGGCCCAGCTGAGTGTCAACGATCTGAGTCAGCCAAACAATGCTGAGGATATTGAGAGAGGGAGAGGGCGATACGGAGTCAGGATGCTAATGCTAAGCACCTATATACTAGAAATTGGTGCAATTGAAAAGTCTGGACTGTCTGGCCAGCTGCTTGTCCAACATGATGCTGGCACGGTTTCGGGCCTCAGCAGTCCGCTTAGCGGCTGAGCGATTGACAACAAAAGATTGCTTCATCTGGGTGGTTGCCAAGATCAGGCCACAACCTTGAAAGTGCTGTGTTCAATGTCACCGTCATACCCGTGGGCTTGAGGCCGGCGAACTTTGGGCATTGACTCTGATTGGCTAAGCACAAGGCAAAAGGGCTTGGCTGATGGTGGGAAGACATATTGTGACCAGGGCATCGCTACTAGTAGCTCCTGGCCATACTACTAGTAACAAGAAGCTACTAGGAACAAGGGCATTTCTGCTAGAGCAAGAAGCTACTAGTAGCTCCTGGCATTACTGCTAGTAGCAAGGACGCAGTAACAAAGGGCATCGAGCAAGCTCTCCTGGGGCCCCGCCTTGGATAGAGAGAATCCGACCATGACCCATTTATCATAGGGCACCAAAGTGCTCTCAGAGTAGATCTCGTTGCAGCCGCTGACCTTGAAAATCACCAATCAAACTGATCAACCCCCTCTCGCTGAACAGCTTCCTTGGAGTATGCCCAAGCGATGAAGAATCAAAACGAATAAAGGATAATGCATGCACTTGGCCCTGGTGTGTTGCATGTGCTGTAAACTTGCTCAAAGAAGACATATATAGATATTTCACTTGTATGTGCTGCTTTATTATATACTTGGTTGAAGTCCTGTGCACAGTCACTCCCAGCAATGGCAGTCCCAACAGCACACACGCAGCATCACGCAGTTCAAGTAGCACAGGCCACCCTTGTCCAACTGATCCTGATTCATGCCACCCCCTGAGTCCGCTACGGAGTCGGTCCAAGACAGTCGCAACTGTCGATTGGTGGTTGACCACTCATGCCTGGCCGCAGGCTACATCTAGAATCTAGATAACTCATAGAATCGCTGGAAGGGCGCCCGTCCAATCAATCAAGCCGGCTTTCGCATAAAGAGAGCCCAGCCTTTGTTAGTGGTGGAGCCTGGGCTTGAGTCACGCTTGTGAGGGTGATTTCGTCACTGGTTGACGGGCGGAAGTGAGTTGGAAAAAGACCTGCCCTGCACATGCTTGAAGCGGACAGCTTTCTGAGCTTGGCCGCTAACCTTTTATTTATCCTTTTGTCATGGCTCCGCACCACGGGTCTGACAAACAACCCACAAGCAACCCTCAAGCATCCGCACAACCACTGACTTTGGTCGATGCAATGGTCTTCATCGACCTTACCGGCCGCAAGGTGGCTTCATCAGCCCCAAGGTCGCGGTGGCTTGGGGAAAATGCAGAAAAGCAGAAAAACCATTACTACTAGTAGCTCGAAGCTACTAGGCTGGAGGCCATCGCTATTAGGTTGGAGGCCATTACTACTAGTAGCTAGAAGCAAACAAGCGAGCCAGAACATACGACAACTTCAGACTATCCACCTCCGTGTGTGCTCGCTTCCTTTTTTCTTGCATCAAATCACTCCCGCTCTTCCCTGTGACCACACTCCCCGAGAGGCCTGCATTTGGGGGAGATCTCGAAGGAAGCTCAGCGTCTTACACTCATTGCCAACAACACCTATTTTCCGTTTTTCTCTTTTGTTTAGCCCGCTCTGCCGCCCTACTACGCTAATTAAGTTAGCTCAGCTCCTATAGGATGCAGGATAGCTCACGCTTCTTCAAGGAAGCTTCCTTGAAGAAGCGCTCGCACTATACACTTGAGTGGGGAAACACGAAAGGTAGAGACGGACCGAGTAGCTGTCGGGACCTTTTCTGGTGAGGGACTGTCTCCGGTGTTTCAGGAACGTGCCCCTTGGTCAATCATGGATGAAACCAACAAAGCCAGAGAGCACAAGAAGGCATAAGAAGGCTCAAGAGGAACTCCGTTGCGGTCAGATTGCGCCACACGGCTCTGCAGAGAGGCTGCGTTGCGTCGACGCTCGTTTGTGTCTAGGTGTGTGAAAACAGGCGTGCGTAAAAGTCGCAATGCGTAAACGCTCGCATGTGTACCAGCTATGGTCCCACAGCTGCACGCACTGTGTCAGGATTAAAGGCCTGCACGCGTTGCGTCGAAGCCGCAGTGACTCAGTGACCAACCCCCTTGTAAGGATAGTGCTGGAGGGGTGCGGCCGGTACTGCCAGGGATGGACGTCACGCTATGGTGGGTGTGCTCCACGATGCGGTAAGATTTCGCCACGCTAGGGTATAAGGCTGAGTCGAATGGTGTTCCGCGACGCGAGGGGTTTCTCCACAGGGCTTTGCAGAGAGGCTGTGTTGCATCGATGCTCGTTGGTGTCGAGCAATATGGTCTGTGAACGCAGTACGCGCTGTGTCAGGCTGCCGGGTGCGCACGCGCGGCATCGAAGCTGCATTGCGCGACCTCATTGCGCAGGGTTCGTGCTGTATTGCGCAACCTCATGGCCAGCGTCGTACTGCTCTGACTGTTAAGCGCATGACTTCACCTTATGTCCAGAATTTAGTAGTGCTGGCGACGAGGGGAGGGGACGGGGAGGGGAGTGGAGGGGGGAGGGGGGGGTGGGGGTGTTAGACATTGATCTACCAATCTTTAGTCCCGAGCAAGCTCTCAAGCCAGTCCCTTTGCTTCGCAAAGCAAACTCAAGGTAGTCCTTACCAGGCTACCTTTCGTGATTTGGTTCCTAGATTTTTCGGGAACAAGGCAAAGTTAAAGATATAACCAAAGCACCTAGATTTGTCATTGGCGTCTTACACTTTCCTCCGAGTCACTCCGATGCCAGCGGAAAAGACATTTCTGGGATCTGTGGCACATAGATCCATGCACCTCGACAACTCAAGCACAAGACCACAGAATCCGTTGGGCCGCCAAGTACTTTCCAATCTTCTCGTGACGTTACTCGTGCCAACCCACTTCACACTCAGTTCATGTCCGACATGTCCGAAAAATGGTTTACCTCCAAAGCTGTGTCGATAAACGAAGGATCCAGGGTTGAAAGTCGTTTGGGTCCTCCCCCTGCATCAATCTTTTCTTGCCAACTCGAAGCAGGTAGTATAGACATCACTCAGCTTTTGCGACCTCGGCGCTGGGAGCTCTGAATGGTCAGTTCTCGAGTCTGGTGAGGCTGGGCACCACTTTACTATACAATAGGCCCAACCCTGTAATCACTAAGCTCCAAAACGAAACAGGAGCTCCATAGTAGAAGGGTGGTTACTAATCACCACTGAGGCTGGTTCTTCCTTCTTGTGCTCCGAAGATGTCATCGTGCTCGCATCTGAGGGCTTTCGTGTGAGGTCCTAGTCATCAGTAGGCCTCTGCTGGCTGGAGTTTGAAATTGAAGATTCCGTTTGAACAGAACGCCTGCAAACCTTCTACAGCCAGCCAAAGTTCTACAGCAATAGTCCCATGGGTGTTTGCAAGGTTGTTAAGCCTACTCATGCGTTATATGTGTTTATCATATCAAATTGCATTTATTTTAAGCTCTTGAGACCCGACGGTCCTCAGCTTGTTTGGGCTTTGGAGCCACATGATATTCGAAGGATCGTTGGGTAAGGACCATGGCCTCAAAATGTCCAAAGCGGAAAAGGCCACAGAGGCAAGGCATCACATTCCTCTTTGGAAACTTCGATGAAATCCTACATGATCGACCAAACTTCAAACAATTCCACGTGTTTTGCAACTTTATGGGTCTGCTGTGCACTGTGGACACTCTGAAGAAAATGCAACTAGCGCAAGGCAAACCAATTGCCAAGCCAGGAGGCTGCTGCACGCCAAATGGCATAGCCCATAGCTATAAAATATATGGGGGATGCCCACATCAAGCCTCAGCAACCATACTGATGGGGAAATCAGCAGCCTCTTATCAATCCAAGTAGTGCTAGCTAGCCTGCTTCAAAAAATAGCACATCCTGCCGGCGCGGATATGAACCTATCGACGAATGTGTTGGAGAACGCTCAGACCAACGTCCCCCGCCCTGACTAGAGAAAGCCGGAGGATACCGGATCAGAATATGAGTCGTGAAGGAACAACAAAGAGGCACAGACACACTTCAGTTGTGTCCAAGCAGTCCAGCAGCTTGTGAGATTCTTGAGAAAGTGCATCGGCGCAGAGAGGCTGCTCTCCCCTTGCAGGGTTGGATCGTGGCGGCCATCCCACTTTTCAACATGCCTAAGCACCTTTAGGATGACCGTCTTCTCATACAACAAGCCTGCCTGAACACAAGGAAAGGTCGAATTTGGAAGCCTTGCCTTCCACGCGGGGCTTAAGGAGCTTGGAATACGTCATGAAGAAGACAACGGCCACCGCAACGGTGCAAACAATGGTCACACTCATCAAATAGCGAGGGAATAAGCCCATACTCTCTAAGAGAAATGCTAAATCCTTGGTGGCGTGGAGAGATTCTACAAGCGCCACCACAAATAGATGGATTATTCCGGATTATATTATATGGACAGGTTTCCACCCATCTTGAAAATGTTTAACCGTGAGCAAAGGATAAAATGAAATCAGTTGTACTTTGGTGAGCACAATTCCAATGATTCCAAATCCTCTCTGTTCACTAATTGTTTGAGCCTCATCACCAGCACTTTGGGTTCTACACAAGCGCGGCATTTTGGTTGCTCCGATCTACTTGGATTCGGGGCAACAGCAGTGTGGCAACTGTGGAATTGCCAATGAGCTAGCTGCTGGCTATACTGCTTCCACGCTGTAGAGCTTCCACAGGTTGTACTGTCTTGAAGCTCAAAAACTTCAGCCGTGGCATTGCAATCATTTGCGAAGGTGAATGGTTCACCAGCAGGTTATGTTCCTGTATCCTTATGAATTACTGTCAAGTCTATTTGATAGAAGCATGGGCGCCTTAACGCTGCTAGCAGCTAGCAGGTTCTCCTCAAAAGACCTTCCTTTTCTGAAACGACCTGGTTGCCTTTGTTCGTGGACCAGGCTGTGCCACACAGGCCCCTGCGGACCGAGGACGCATGCAGATTTAATAAGAGATCTCAAAGTTCCGAGGCAAAGGCGTAGGAGCAAGGACGCTACTAGGGGCTCCTGGCATCCCTACTAGGAACAATAAGCTAGTAGAAACAAGAACTAGAATTAAAGAAGTAGAATTAGAAAATAGAATAAAATATAATTAATAAACTAGAAATAAAATTAGAAAGTAGGGCTAGCAAAGGGCATCAGCAAGGACGCTCCTAGTAGCAAAGGGCATGGCTACTAAAAAGCAAGGACGCTACTAGTAGCAAAGGGCATCGCTACGAGGAGCAAGGACGCTACTAGTAGCAAAGGGCATCGCTACTAGGAGCAAGGACGCTCCTGGTAGCAAAGGGCATCGCTACTAGGAGCAAGGCCGCTACA